CTGAGTATTATTCTCAAAAATATTAGTGATCAATGATCGAGCATAGATTTTAGTTCCAAGTAATAAATTTAAAAAAAAAAACTGAACTTTTTTAAAGCTTTATAAGTATTATAATAAAATAAAATAAGCACTCACCTTATTTAACACTTGTTTCTTTTCCGCTAACAACTTTAATTACTCTTTCTTTTTACAAATTTTCAATTTACTTTTACATTTATTATCACATTTTTTATATATTTTTCTTATTAACAAATTTTTCATTTACTTTTATTTATTTTCTATTTTTTTTCAGCTTTTTAAAATGCTCTTTTATTTATTTTAACAATTTTTTTTTAATTTCTCATTATTTTAGCTTTTTTCTTTAAAAGATCAACATTTTTATTTCCTTTGCTACATTTGAAAGCTTATTATGGTTATTAAATTTTCTTTTATTTCCTCATTTCCTTTACTACACTTATAAAAGCTTTTTTCCTTTTCTTTGCTGCACACAAACCTCTATTCACCTCACCTATATATAAACTGTTGCACTTTACACATTCCTGGCACATCCATTCTTACATACATACATATTTATTAACAACGAATGGCCAGACTAAAACAACACAACGTGCCGGCACAACATTTCCAAACAGTTTTGCTACATTATTTTTACTAATTTACAAGTTACTTTTTAACAATATGTTTACATCGAAATATTAACAAACATTTAAATTTCACATTTATGCAAAAATATTACCAAATTATTAACTTTTAACCGGATTTATTAATTAATTAAACGACCACAAATCACTAAACAACCGAACACTTGCAAAATTTCTAGAAAACTAAAGGAGAAAAATGCAAGTAATGATTTTGTTGCTACTGTTGTTGTTGTTGCAGCTGTCATGATTAGAGTGCGTAAATGGATTAGGAGCCAGGCATGGAAAATTTAAATTTTGCAAAAGTATGTACTAACTTAAAACTAACTAGTACTTTTTACATATTAAAGTACATACTAAATTATATTTCCATTGGACTATAGACTAGACTATATATAGACTAGACTATAGACTAGGCTATAGACTAGACTATAGACTCGACTATTGACTAGACTATAGACCAGACTATTAACTAGACTATAGACTAGACTGTTAACTAGACTATAGACTAGACTATAGACTAGACTATAGACTAGACTATAGTATAGACTATAGAATAGGCTATAGACTAGAGTATAGACTAGGCTATAGACTAGAGTATAAACAAGGCTATAGACTAGACTAGAGTACAGACTAGAGTACTGACTAGAGTATTGACTAGAGTATAGACTAGACTATAGACTAGACTATAGACTAGACTATAGACTAGACTAGACTAGACTATAGACTAGACTATAGACTATAGGCTATAGACTAGACTACACTATAGACTAGACTAGACTAGACTAGACTAGACTATAGACTAGACTAGACTATAGACTAGACGACACTATAGACTAGACTATAGACTAGACTCTAGACTAGACTATAGATTAGACTATAGACTAGACTATAGACTAGACACTAGGCTAGACTATAGACTAGACTATAGACTAGACACTAGGCTAGACTAATAGACTAGACTATAGACTAGACTAGACTAAACTAGACTATAGACTAGACTATAGACTAGACTATAGACTAGACTATAGACTAGACTATAGACTAGACTATAGACTAGACTATAGACTAGACTATAGACTAGACTATAGACTAGACTATAGACTAGACTATAGACTAGACTATAGACTAGACTATAGACTAGACTATAGACTAGACTATAGACTAGACTATAGACTAGACTATAGACTAGACTATAGACTAGACTATAGACTAGACTATAGACTAGACTATAGACTAGACTATAGACTAGACTATAGACTAGACTATAGACTAGACTAGACTAGACTATAGACTAGACTATAGACTAGACTATAGACTAGACTATAGACTAGACTATAGACTAGACTATAGACTAGACTATAGACTAGACTATAGACTAGACTATAGACTAGACTATAGACTAGACTATAGACTAGACTATAGACTAGACTATAGACTGAACTGAACTAGAAATTGTTTACTATTAATCTTGCATTAACTTTGATTTTTTTTAATTTGTACTAAAAATGTGTGTATTTGGGCTTTTATTGGTGTTTGTCTAGACTAATAAAACTGAAACGGTTAACAAAAGTCTCCTCTAACATTGAGCGACGACTTACACCTTTAAGTTTAAATATCAAATGCGGCGACTTTAAAACATTTTTCATACAGCGTATTCGCCTCACATTTAGCAAGCGAATTGTAAAATAGTCAAGACCTAAACCATATAGAAATATAAAACTTTAAATTTAAACATAATTTTAGTACTTGCTAAATTAAAAAAAAACAATTTTAAATAATTTTAAAGCAAAATTATATTTGTATTAAGTATATTAATCATTTTTTTTTACATAAAAATAATATAAAATATTTTTTTTTCTATTTTTTATAACTAACTTAAAGCAATTTCATGTAATTTAACTACTTAAAACTATAAAAATAAATACTTATTTATAAATTTTTGTTTCTTTTACAACAAAATGATTTCCTTTTAACAAAAAAATCTTTTAGCTTCTTAATAAAATATACGGCTATTTGGAATACATAGCTGTCCCATAAATATGACTAAAAAGTAATTCTTTATGTTAAGTTAATTTTTTTTAAATGGTACGTATTAAAGTTATAAATAAGGTAATTTTAATTTATTTTTACTAATTAATTAAAAACTACAAATTTAACTATAAAAAAATTATTGCATTTTTATTAAAAACTAAAAGATTGCACATTTCCGGCCTAAAGACAACGGAAAAATATCACATTTTTCACTTAAATGGTACTTATAGGTTAACAGTTACGAACTATAACTTTATTATTAATTGTATAATAATTTATTGCATATTTAAATTATTTTATAAAAAAAGATTGCACAAATATTTATTGCACTTATTAACAAAATTTTTCTTCATATTAAGAATATTTATAGTGAATCATCGAAATATCCTCGTAAAGCGGATAATTGCCATAAGTTATTATTACTAAGTCTTTATAAAAGGTTTATAAACAAATTGTGTATGAACCAGGTATGGAAAATTTAATAGTAAGGTACTTTTTCAGAACTTTTTGATATCAACAAATAACGCAGAATTTATAAACTTTGATAAGTAATCCACATAGACTATAAACTAGACTAAAGACTAGACTAGATACTAAACTATGGACTAGTCTATAGTCTAGTTTATAGTCTAGTCTATAGTCTAGTCTATAGTCTAGTCTATAGTCTAGTCTATAGTCTAGTCTATAGTCTAGTCTATAGTCTAGTCTATAGTCTAGTCTATAGTCTAGTCTAGTAGTCTATAGTCTAGTCTATAGTCTAGTCTATAGTCTAGTCTATAGTCTAGTCTATAGTCTAGTCTATAGTCTAGTCTATAGTCTAGTCTATAGTCTAGTCTATAGTCTAGTCTATAGTCTAGTCTATAGTCTAGTCTATAGTCTAGTCTATAGTCTAGTCTATAGTCTAGTCTATAGTCTAGTCTATAGTCTAGTCTATAGTCTAGTCTATAGTCTAGTCTATAGTCTAGTCTATAGTCTAGTCTATAGTCTAGTCTATAGTCTAGTCTATAGTCCTAGTCTATAGTCTAGTCTATAGTCTAGTCTATAGTCTAGTCTATAGTCTAGTCTATAGTCTAGTCTATAGTCTAGTCTATAGTCTAGTCTATAGTCTAGTCTATAGTCTAGTCTATAGTCTAGTCTATAGTCTAGTCTATAGTCTAGTCTATAGTCTAGTCTATAGTCTAGTCTATAGTCGTCTATAGTCTAGTCTATAGTCTAGTCTATAGTCTAGTCTATAGTCTAGTCTATAGTCTAGTCTATAGTCTAGTCTATAGTCTAGTCTATAGTCTAGTCTATAGTCTAGTCTATAGTCTAGTCTATAGTCTAGTCTATAGTCTAGTCTATAGTCTAGTCTATAGTCTAGTCTATAGTAGTCTATAGTCTAGTTTATAGTCTAGTCTATAGTCTAGTCTATAGTCTAGTCTATAGTCTAGTCTATAGTCTAGTCTATAGTCTAGTCTATAGTCTAGTCTATAGTCTAGTCTAGTCTATAGTCTAGTCTATAGTCTAGTCTATAGTCTAGTCTATAGTCTAGTCTATAGTCTAGTCTATAGTCTAGTCTATAGTCTAGTCTATAGTCTAGTCTATAGTCTAGTCTATAGTCTAGTCTATAGTCTAGTCTATAGTCTAGTCTATAGTCTAGTCTATAGTCTAGTCTATAGTCTAGTCCATAGTCTAGTCTATAGTCTAGTCTATAGTCTAGTCTATAGTCTAGTCTATAGTCTAGTCTATGGTCTAGTCTATAGTATAGTCTATAGTCTAGTCTATAGTCTAGTCTATAGTCTAGTCTATAGTATAGTCTATAGTCTAGTCTATAGTCTAGTCTATAGTCTAGTCTATAGTCTAGTCTATAGTATAGTCTATAGTCTAGTCTATAGTCTAGTCTATAGTCTAGTCTATAGTATAGTCTATAGTCTAGTCTATAGTCTAGTCTATAGTCTAGTCTATAGTCTAGTCTATAGTCTAGTCTATAGTCTAGTCTATAGTCTAGTCTATAGTCTAGTCTATAGTCTAGTCTATAGTCTAGTCTATAGTCTAGTCTATAGTCTAGTCTATAGTCTAGTCTATAGTCTAGTCTATAGTCTAGTCTATAGTCTAGTCTATAGTCTAGTCTATAGTCTAGTCTATAGTCTAGTCTATAGTCTAGTCTATAGTCTAGTCTATAGTCTAGTCTATAGTCTAGTCTATAGTCTAGTCTATAGTCTAGTCTATAGTCTAGTCTATAGTCTAGTCTATAGTCTAGTCTATAGTCTAGTCTATAGTCTAGTCTATAGTCTAGTCTATAGTCTAGGATATAGTCTAGGATATAGTCTAGTCTAATCTAGTTTATAGTGTAGTCTATAGTCTAACGGAAATTTAGTTTAGTCCTGTGATATAATCATTAAGGACCGTTTGGAATATATATTCAGGTAAAGCTTTAAAAGTACTCTTAATACTAAAATATTCAACTAAATAGCCCTTCTATAGAACTATAACTCTTAAATAAATCTAACATATTTATTCCTAATCCTATCTTTCTAAAGATTTTCTAATATTTTTATACAAAACAGAATGTGTCTCTACACTTTCGGCTCCCGACTCCCACATATCATCGACATTAGTCTCACCATCCGTTTCGGAGGAGCCATAGCTGGTGGTAATTGGTTCCTCTTCATCCTCATCTGAGGTAAATGTAGTCGAAGATGATGACTGGGTAGGTGATCTTCTTTGGGTATTGGATCTGGTTAGAGTCTTATCCGAATCATTGTCACTCTCATCTTCAATGACTTCTATGGTATTTTCTGCTAAAGGAACCTGTTGTTTTTGTAGCTGCTGCTGTTGTTCATTAATATGTTCAAAATCTTCGAAACGATTGGTATCGAGTATAGAACCACGTCTCGCAGAAGCTTCTTGACCCTTATGCCTATCCGTTAGAGTGCTATCACCATCTGAGTTATCTTCAATAGTACTCACACGTATAATGTGATCACGTTCGGACATCATTTTGAAATTATAACGATCGTAAAAAGTTCTCTTGTGAGCCTCACCCGAATCAGCACTCATATAGCCACTGTCCATTTCCTGTAAGCGCGGACCAAATCTCTGTTCATAGTAGTTTTGTGAGGCGGGTGCTGAGTATGAACTTTTGGGTGTTGATACCTGAGGATGATCTTCGATTAGCGAGGAAATACCCTCATCTCTTTCGAGTACTTCTAAAATGGAACCAGCTTTTTTATCAAATGGCGGTGCTGGACTTTGGGTGGGACTGAATTTTGAGGCCGCCATACTAACAAACTTTTTCCAGGCATTTTTTATATCTTTAGCTTTTTTGGGGCGATCTTTAAGGCCCATGGCTATTTGCATGCCATGGGTTAGTTGCACGGGTTCTATTTCACATCTATAAACAGTTTGTACATTATTGGCAGGAGGATTGGGGGTGGCAGGATTGCTATTACTGCTGCTATTATTATTATTATTACTATTGCTGTTGTTATTATTATTGGCATTATTACGTTGCGGATAGGCTATACCTACCGGCACCCCCGCATTACGATACATTTCTTTAGTACGATCCGATAAACGACTACTAGATCTATTCGATCTAGAACTTAACGATACCACATCGATTTTATTGGGATCTATTTCGGCGCTATGTTTCAAATTATTATTATTTTCTATTTGCAACTCCAATTGTTGAGCTGTGGCATTGAGTCCCTCTTGTGCTGGATCTTCACTACGATCTTGGGATTTCCTACGATTCAAATATTTATTCAAACTATAATCATTTCTCAGACCATTGATATGGGTATTAAATATGGCACCAAAATCGTCTTCCCTTAACTTTTTAGCCGTCTGTTGGGCTTCAGTCTTGTCGGCTTTAGTGGAATCTTTAGCGGAGTTTATATTCTCATGTTTAGGTTTTTCCAAAGTTTTATCCGTTTTATGGAGTTTGTTGGGCGGAGTCTTCTTATCCATAGTTCCGCCAAATTCCGAGTTAGTCATGGTACCGGATATGCCAGTGACTTCGGTAGACTCACTATGATTACTCATGGTCTCTTCCTCTGTATGGGAATGTGCTCGGTATTGATGTTGTGTATTAGATGAAGCCCGACTGGTGCGACTATTTAGGGTAGTAGAGGCCGAAGTGGGTGGTGGTGGTGGCGGTGGTGTTTGTGGTGATTGCGATAAACTGCGTTTTATACGCGACGGAGGTGTGGCGCTGAGACTGCGTAATTGCCTAGGCGATTGTAAGTATTTGGTCGATGTAGTATTATTGTCCTCCTTTACCGGTTTCTGATGAACTCTTGGCTCCACATACTCGGTGGGTCTCTTGTCCGCCTGTACATTGACCCTGCTCGCTTTAGGTGTTGTTATCTTTATGGTACACTTGTTGGAAGACTCATTGGAGATTTCCACCATAGCCGGCGGTGTAGGCGGTTGACTGGGTCGTTGTCGGCGTGAGTGTTTAGCTTCTAGTGTCAAAATGCGTCCCTTGTCGCTGAGATCTTCTATTTGTTCCTGCAAAAACATACTTGTGGCCTGTCCGCCACATTTACAGCTACAGTCACTATTTTGTCTTACCAACAAAGACTGGTATATATCTCTTAAATTACTGACCTTCGAGTTGGTGTCTTCTTCGAATTCCTCATTGCCACAAGGTCTTCTCAATTCCACTTGACTTTCGTAGGCGGAATCTCTACTAATCTGCCTTCTACAGGCTGTACTGCTGGGCGTATCATTGGGTTTTAATCTAAACGAGTTTTGTGATTCCACCTTTACGGGTCTTTTCGACATATCTGGCAACGATTGTGGTGGAGTACTTTGATTGTCATTTGCTCTTTTCATTTCTACATTTGACCAGGCATTAACATCACAAAAACTCTGTTTTTTGGGTTTGCGATCCAAGGTATCGGGCTCGTATTGATCACTGTCCGTAGAGCGTTCGAGATCGGAAGGCGGTTCATGTTCCACTTCTATGGTCATGCTGCCACGAAAGGGCGTATCGTATTTTATGCGGGCCGCCATATCCTTCTTCAAGGCCGATGATTCCAAAGTACGTATTAGATTTTTCTTTTGAGATCCTAAGGACTTGGTATTAAAACCATCACCTTGATAAACAGTATGGCTTATTTCCAATTCCTCTTCCAAAGGGAGAGCTGTGCTTAAACTAGGACTTAACTGAGAGCTGACATCTGAGGAAGGTGAAGAAGAGGATTGGGAACTTTTGCGTTTTGTGGCCTCCAAACGTTCTAAACTATCGGTCTCATAATCTACTATTAGATATTGCGGCGACTTTCTTCTATAAATGGGAGAATCGGGTTGATATTGTTTCAAAGATTTACGACTTAGAGAACTATAATCGGGAGTGGGTACCGAAGGACCACTACTTTGGGTATTATTATAAATATCCTTTATCTTCTTCTCCATGGTGGAATCATAATCTGGAGTGGGTATATCCAAATTAAAACTACCATTAGATCTTAGAGTGGCGGTGTACTCTTGATGTATTCTTTCCAAGGTGTTCGAGTCTAAATGATCGTTCATTTGTTCCATGCTGCGCAGCATATTGTAGTGTTGTCTCTCGGTAGAAGACAAAGATGTGGGTGTCGAGGCGGCCGCGTACTGATCGAGTACATCGAGTCGTTTGCGTGAATTCTTCGAACGCTGGGAGGAGCTTCGACTTCTTTGGGAAGCTGCTGGTGAATCGTGTAGCATAAATTTTGGATTATTATAAATCTCTCCGCCCGTCTCGGCAAAACCATACATATGAGCCGAGGCAGTTAGAGCCGAATAAGCATCTAGTTTGTGTTGCATTACTGGTATATTTAAAGAGTTTCGAGATTTTTGATAAATGGAAGAAGAGTTCCTATTATCTGTTGGAGTATTATATTGAGATTCTTCTTCTATAAGATTGTGATTAATAATTTGGTTTCTCAGTTGATTAGAAGCCATACCAGGCTTATGAATAGGAGGTGGTGGTGGTTTTTGCTTAGGTGGTGTTATACGTTTGCCCGCTGGGGTCATATTGGGCGATTTCAAACCCTCTGGTGTTTTACTAGAACCACTACTACTGGGAGATTGTCGTTCTTTATCATTTGCATTAGCGTCTCTAGAACCCTGTTCTGTTGAACGATTATCTTCCGTAGACTGTACAGTTTCCAACCATTTCTCTATGCTATTACGTTTATCGCCACAATTCTTAACATGACCACTACAGCGATTTGTCACACAACCCTGACACTCGGAGGGAGTATGCAATTGTGAGCCATAAACTGAGGGTGTATTACTGCGCGGTGTACCCTCTTCAGGTATAAGAGTCAAGGAGGGTTGATATCTTTTTGTGGCCATTTTATACTTAGCTATGGCTATAACTTCACGAATTTTCTGTAAAAATTCCAAGGCTGCTGGAGGTGGTTGCTGTAATTAACGAAAAACAATTTCAGATATTGTACAGTTACTAAAAAAATATGGATTAAGCGGCGCTTAAGTTAGATGTTTGCTATGAGTGAATTCTTAAGCACTTACCGCCAATAGGTGAGGTTCAAAATAGGCAGGATTGAAATATAATTTCTTACGTATATTGCCATTAACCATGGCCCTTAAGCTTTCTAGCTTCTCCTCGGTCATCATTTCTTCTATTATTGCCACATTCTCTGGCGGTAAACATTCATTCTCTTGGCTATTGGCATTAGAATCTAAGCCATCATCTTCTTTGCTACCCTGACTCTGGGCACCATTATTGGAAGAATGGTGAGAGCCCTTGGGTGAACCATTATTCATCATCATGCCCATTTGGGGATGTACCAAGGCATTTGTTTGCATCTGTTGTTATGAAAAGAAAGGAATCGTTTAACTTTAAACTCTAATTACCTTTAACTTTAAAACCCTACCTGTTTAACTTTATCATGATAATTACCACCACCACCATCCATTTCACACTCTGAATTCGAATTCGATATATCGCTAGTGAAGCCAGAATGATGATCATTTAGTTGGGGAAAATGTTGCAGCAATGGATTATTCTTAACTATACCCATTTCCTCCTTCATACTACTCAAAGAAGCACGAGATCTAGGTTCATTGGAAGTGGTCAACGAACCAGCTGAATATAAACTACCACTACGTGTGAAGGGCGCTCCAAAGGTAACTTGATCATTTTTCGGATAATTTATTTCATTATTCAAATCATCCAATGAATTGCGACTGCGACTTTGATCACGACTTTTACGTTTTTTCATATGCAAATAGAGAAATACCGAAGAGACATAGATGAGTCCCAGTAGAAGACTGCAAACACCAATCACTATATATTCTTTGGTGCTCATACCATCCGAGGTGGAGGCGAGTGTGGTAGTGGCCTCAGCTTGAAAGAGAACTTCGGAAACATCTATGAAATTAAAAGGATTTAAGGAAAAAGAAGATGAATTTAAAGCATGTGATGGATTGTGATGTGAGAGAAATGAATAGAGACATATTGTGAATATAGAAGAAATATTTATAAAAGTTGTAAATGTTTAAGTGATTTGATGAAGTGAAGCTTTCACTCGAATCTTATAGAGGATTGAGCTTTACGAATGATAAGCTATAACAGAGTTTTTCCGAAGTATTAGTATCTTGATGATTTTTTCCTTATTTCTTCGGACAAGTGGCCCGAGATAGAAGTATATATTTGAATCATATCGCGGATCATATCAAAGATTGCTTAAAATCGAGATAGTTTTGTATGGAATGGCTTGAATTCGGAAAAGGGAACATAAAGTCATAGATGGACGTAAAAACAGTGGTTCTATGTATCTATTTTGGAAATAATTAGGTGTCTTGTAAACTATAGGAGATATCATAAGGAAATTTTGAATAGACGGAGCATAGCTGAGTTGACAGATGGACAGGCATTTTGGGATTGATTTGGCAGTTGTTCTAAGCAGATTGGTTAAATTGAAAGTTTATAAAGGACCATTATATTTGGGCCTTACAAATATTAGTTCGAAGAGCTGGAAGGACGGACAGAGATAGTCAGACAGACATCTTTTAATCGACTCCGAGAAACAGTGTGATTATGACAGATGATCATCGTGACAACAGAGAGATGGATATCTCAACTTTCTAAATTAGTCTAACAGATTGGTTAAATCTAACATGTATGAAGAAACATTACTTTGGGTCCTACAAATATTAGGATGAATAGCTCAACGAAAGGTCGGATGAACTCAGGTGAAGGAAGGACGTACACAATCTTAAGAACAGAGGTGACTTTTTGGACTTTTGTATCATAGAAACATTATGATGAAAAGATGAATGAATACAGTCAGACATACATATTTAAATCGACAATAAGCAGACATTTGGACTTTCAGGAAAGATACACAAACATTTGTATTCGGAATATTTATCAGATGAGGAAAGACAGATGGAAGGACGTACGTACACTTTTCTACGAATGTATGGATGAAATAATGGGCGGAGATAGTCAGATGTATATCTATTAATCGACATAGAAGAGAGAGAAACAAACGCTCGAGAACAGACAGACATTTGGACTCTGAATAATTCTAAGATGAGGAAAGACAGACGGATGCACACAGTCTTACAAACATCGGATACCCATTTGGATCTTACAAACATAATGACTTATAGATGGACGGAGACAGTCAGACAGACATATTTAAATCGAGTCAAGAGTGAGAGAGACCGATACTAATCACGACAACAGACAGACACCTGGACTCCGAATAAATCTTAGAACTGGAAAGAAAGACGGTTGCATACAGTCTTATAAACGTCGCAGAACCATTTTTTTTTTGCATCTTACAAGCATCTTAAAAACTACTCAGGAGTGAGAGAGACAGATATACGAACTTCTTTAAATTACGGACCTGGACTCCGAGTACATCCCAGAAAAGGAAAGATAAAGAGATACACATAGTTTTTTTGTGTTTTACAATCATAATGATGAATAGACGGACAGAACGGATGGACATGGACAGACATCTTTAAATCGACTCAGTAGTGAGATTGACAGATACACGGACTTCTTTAAATCGCGACAACAGACACACAACAGGACCCGCAAATAAATCTCAGATGAGGAAAGACAGACGGACATACACATACATATATACAGTCAGACAGACATCAATGGACATGTACAGACATCTTTAAATCGACTCAGGAGTGAGAGAGTCAGATAAACGAACTTCTTTAAATAGCAGACCTGGACTCCGAGTACATCCCAGAAAAGGAAAGACAGTCAGATGCACATAGTTTTTTGTATTTTACAATCATTATGATGAATGGACGGACGGAACGGATGGACATGGACAGACATCTTTAAATCGACTCAGTAGTGAGATTGACAGATACACGGACTTCTTTAAATCGCGACAACAGACACACAACAGGACTCGCAAATAAATCTCAGATGAGGAAAGACAGACGGACATACACATACATATATACAGTCAGACAAACATCAACTCAGAGGGAGACAGATATACGACAACAGAAAACTTCAGGACTCGAAATAAATCTCAAATAAGGAAAGACTGACGGACGCATAGAGTCTCACAAATATAGGAGGATCATTACATTGTGATCAATAGATGGGCGGAAGTTCTGACATCTTTAAACCGACCCAGGCGAGAAAGTAATATAGAGAGAGACATAATCATGAACATCTTTAAACAGACAGACAACTGAACTTGAAATAATTTTTTAAATTCAAGGTTGGTAGAAGATTTCTTTTGATGGGTCTTCATCCAATGCACAGTCGAATTTAAGCTAAATGGCTGTAGTCTATAAAAAACTTATCATTTCCACTTACTATTAGCATATTTAACTGGACTACCGTTGACACGAAAAGCCACACAAGGTGAGAAAACATTTTTGGGCGGCATCAAATGATCTGAAATAAAAAAAAAAGAAAAATAAAATCTAATCAAAACGACATTCAACACACAAACAAACAATAAAAAAACAATTTACCATTTGAGGCAGTGGCATTTAGTGACAGTGTCATATCACGACACACTAAATGAACAACAATAAGACGACCTTGCATTTTATGGCGCAGATCGGCTTCGCCCAACCACTGGAAAAAAAGGTATAAACAAAAACATATTAAGACATTTGTATATAAAGCAGTGTAGACAAAGAAAAAAAATTGTAAACAAAAGACACATACACACATACATACATTTAATAAAAGTAAGTTTATTAGTAACAGTTTGCCATTAAAAAAAAAGTGAAACATGAAAAACGAAAGACTTAAGCGACAAACGTTAAAACCTTTAACACAAACCCATTACTAGTTAGAAAAAATAACAACAACACTATAATAAATTATAACAAAAACTCATAAAAAACTTAAAAGACAAACTTAAAAAAAAAAAAACGTTAACGTTTTAATTGTAAATTAGTTACTTTCTGTTTAATATTGTCACGCTACAAAATCACCAACAAGAAAACGCATAAATAAAAGTTTAACCAAAAAAAAAAAAAAAAACAACAATGGAAATTGTTTAATATTTGTTAATTTAACACATTTTAAATACATATGTTTTGTGTGTGTGTGTTGTTTTAAAATTTTCTTAACAAATTAATAGACTGTTAATACCCACATTTTGCTTTAAAAAAAACCTACTAGCAGACATTAAAACCCACTTAACTGCTACATAAAACTTAATTTCTTTACATTTACAAAAAGAAAAACTAAATTATTTTTATTTTATTTATATTAAACAAATAAAAACAAACACGCAATTAAAGGAAAGTGTTTTTTTTTTCTAGCTTTTACCTGCAAAAAAGTGCGTCCCTCATCACGAAACATGCGAAATGGATAATCAGTATCTATGGGATTGCGTAGCTCCGACCAGCCATTGGGTGTTAAATATTGAGCTCCCGTGACAGCGCATACAGGTGTGCGTATATCTGTAAGAGTGTTAAAAAAATATGTTTAAAGATTTTTTTGTTATATGATTTCAAGTCCCCAAACTTACCTGCAAAACTTATTTCTCGACTGGGATAGATGATTTGCCCTCTTAGGGGTAGAAAAACAAAAGGTATTTTCTCCGAAGAAGAACCACTGACAAAGGGGGATAAGGTGCATTCTGTAAAGTAAAAGAAAAATGTGAAAAAATATGTCAAAAGTTGTCAGATACCATTTTGGTACTTTATTGAGTTGTAGCTCTTTAATGAAGTAAAACTGTCATTATGACTATGACGACTCAGGAGTGAGAGCTACAGATACATGAACTTCTTTAAATCACAGTCACCAGGTCTCTGAGTAAATCTCAGAAAAGGAAAGACAGACAGACAGACAGACAGACAGACAGATGCACATAGTTTTTTGTGTTTTACAAACATTATGATGGATGGACGGACGGATCTTTAAATCGACTGAGTAGTGAGAGTGACAGATTCACGAACTTCTTTAAATCACAACAACAGACAGAAATCAGGACTCGAAACAGGTTTTCGTAATTATCAGACTGTATTTATCGGGGTGTAGTTTTTAAAACAAAGTTTATCTGAATGGATGGACGGACATTATTTAAGTAACTTAGAGAGTGATTCTGAAATAGACACGATATTACAAACATAACATTTTATACTTCAATGTATAAAAAATTTATTACAAGTTTCTAGTGGACGGATGGACATTACTAAATCCTTTGAAAAGTCCTTGTTTATTAAATAGTAGACTAGTCAATAAACAAGGCAATATACTAAACGCTTGACTAGCCAGTAGACAAACTTCATTCACTAGTCAATAAGCAAGTGCTAGCTGATTTGTAGTCAGGACCATAAATTAATTTAGTCAAGTCTATAGACTGATATATACTCAAGATTATAGACTGATCTATAGTCAAGACTATAGACTGATCTATAGTCAAGACTATAGACTGATCCATGGTCAAGACTATAGACTGATCCAAGGTCAAGACTACAGGCTGATCCATGATCGAGACTATAGACTGATCCATAGTCAAGACTATAAACTGATCTATAGTCAAGACTATAAACTGATATGTAGTCAGGACCATAAATGAAGCTCTATAGACCGATCTATATGCAAGACTGTAGACTGATCTATATTCAAGACTATAGACAAATCTATAGTCAACTCTATAGACTGATTTGTAGTCAAGAATATAAACTGATCTACAGTCAAGACTATAGATTGATCTACAGTCTATAGTCTTGACTGATTGATTGATCTATGGTCAAGACTATAGATCAATCTATGGTCATGACTATAGTATGATTTGTAGTCAAGACTATAGACTGATCCATGGTCGAGACTATACCATAAATTAAGCTCTATAGACTCATCTATATTCAAGACTATAGACAGATCTATAGTCAACTCTATAGACTGATTTCTTGCAAGGAATATAAACTGGTCTACAGTCAAGACTATAGATTGATCTATGGTCAAGACTATAGGTTGATGTATGGTCAATAAGCAACTACTAACGACTACTCTATGGGTAGGTTACACACTCCGCTATAGACTAATCCATTGACTAGTCAATACTTTCCATAGACTAATCAATAGACAAATAGATATGCTAGTCAATAGATATATAGTCCATAGAATAGACAATAGATAGTATATACTTTAATGTATATTTTTTTTTTCATGGACGGATGGACATCACTAAATCGAATATGATTTAGAACAGATTAACACTTATACACTCAGATAAGTAGATTATCAATAAATTCCATGGACATTGTAAAATCGTGTAAGAAAGTGTTACTAAGCTATGTCTAATATTACAAACATTTTAAAGATCAGTTTCCCTAAAAATAGTTCAAACTAAAAATGTATCTTCAAAATGGTTAACTGCAGTTTGATGCGAAATTTTACATGGATGGACAGACATCATTAACACGATAATGATTGGAAGTCAATTGCTTTAGTTTAACACGGATTTAGGAAAAATATTTCTATCAGTTACAAAGCAAACACATTGTACTCTACTATAGTGATGTAGGGCATAAAAATCAATTAATATTCCTACACATTTGCAAATAATATAAAAGTTAATTTGCAAAACAAATTACTACTTTAACAGCCAATAAAACGCAATCAATTAAATTTAATTAGTGAAAGTGTTGTTAACTGCTTAAAATTCTGTAGAAAGTGATGATGGTGATTTTTATAGAACCATTAATATAACCCATAATTTAAAGTTTACAAGCCTTAAAGCAAAATTTGCTTAAGACAACCGCAGAGCAAGCCGCACTAAACTTTTAAGCAATTAATTTATGGTTGCAAATAAAAGCACAAATTCTAACACTAGCTTAAGCTAGTAAATGTGCAACATGTTACTGTTTCGTTTTTGTGGTATGTTTATGAGCGTATTAAGGTGTTGTTTTTACAACCACATAAAAATTAAATGCTAAAAGATCAATAAAGCAATTTTAACTACCAGAAGGAAGGTTAAATAATGCTTGATCTTTATTTGTTTAAGTTTATGGAAAAATAGTTATAAATATGAGTTTAGCATAAGGAAAATTTATTAGACAAATAAATAGCAGTTTTATGAGCAATTTGTTAAAACTAATATTTGTGGTGCAAATGTCCGTCCGTCCGTCTGCTGAAAATTAAGCGAAATGTGCTGGAATGTTTAAATTTTGTATAGAATAACACATATTTCATTCAATTTCTATTAAAGTTTCTACTATACCTTTACTTTTAGCTTTGACTGTATTTAATTTGATTTTTTTTTGTTATTGTTTTGGTGTTACTCCCATTGCTCTTGTGTCTTAAGTCTTTTGTTTTTCACATTATACATAATAATAGTTAATTGCTACTTGTTACATACAAGGAAGTTTATGATGTACTAGTTTTATAATCCAAAAAAAATTTAACAAAAACAAAAGAAAAACAAATTATCATTTCTATCTACATCTCTAACATCTTATACTTCTGCCTAAACCATTTTTTTTCATCTTTTGCTTTTATCATTTTTAAAGGAACCACATGTTTGTCATTGTTTAGCCACGAGCAAAAAACAAAAAACTCCCATAGAAAAGAAAAAAACCAGAATACCTCAAATGTATTTTTTAATTGTCATGGTAAAATTAAAAGAAAAAAAAACTTATTTATACATAATAATGTCGCAATATTTACAATACCCAACTGGCTGCTGCTAACTAATTTAACTTAAATCATAACAATATCGTATAAACAATTTTTCAAATGAAATGGAAAGTTTATAAATATAAACAAATAATTATGCTACTTGTTTCTATTTTAGACACATCTCTTAACCGAAAGCAAGTTACATGATGTTTTATTTTTATTACAAATTTTTATCTATTTTTTTGCTGCGTTTTGTTCATACCTCTACTATGTTTCTCTAGTAATGAAGTAGCAAATAACAATAATAATAACTCGAAAAAAAAACAATAGTAAATATAACAAATATATTTAGCAAGAGGAAAACAACCAAATAACAACAAAAAATTGTTATTAAGAAGAAGTAGTAAATAAGTTTTTTTTTGTAATATTAAATACTCACAAAAAAATGCTTAATATTTGTATTATGTTATAAATAATTTCTTAAGTAGCGCTGGAAGTGAAAGTGAAATTAAGTAAAATTTTACTTGAAATTTACTTACGAGTTAAATGTTGTGAGTTTAGGTTATTTTAAAGAGATAATTAAAACTTTTGCAAGCGTTTTGCTGGTTGCTAGATTTCCTTAGTAGCGCCCTTTTTACTCAATTTGAAATATCGAATTCAAAGGTACAAGATTTGGCAACGAACGAACGAACGAACGAACTAACTAACTTACAAATTAACTAACTAACTAACTAACTAACTAACTAACTAACTAACTAACTAACTAACTAACTAACTAACTAACTAACTAACTAACTAACTAACTAACTAACTAACTAACTAACTAACTAACTAACTAACTAACTAACTAACTAACTAACTAACTAACTAACTAACTAACTAACTACTAACTAACTAACTAACTAACTAACTAACTAACTAACTAACTAACAAACTAACTAATAACTAATTTACTAACTAACTTACTAACTCACTAACTAACTAACTAACTAACTAACTAACTAACTAACTAACTAACTAACTACTAACTAACTAACTAACTAACTAACTAACTAACTAACTACTAACTAACTAACTAACTAACTAACTAACTAACTAACTAACTAACTAACTAACTAACTAACTAACTAACTAACTAACTAACTAACTACTAACTAACTAACTAACTAACTAACTAACTAACTAACTAACTAACTACTAACTAACTAACTAACTAACTAACTAACTAACTAACTAACTAACTAACTACTAACTAACTAACTAACTACTAACTAACTAACTAACTAACTAACTAACTAACTAACTAACTAACTAACTAACTAACTAACTAACTAACTAACTAACTAACTAACTACTAACTAACTAACTAACTAACTACTAACTAACTAACTAACTACTAACTAACTAACTAACTAACTAACTAACTAACTAACTAACTAACTAACTAACTAACTAACTAACTAACTAACTAACTAACTAACTAACTAACTAACTACTAACTAACTAACTAACTAACTAACTAACTAACTAACTAACTAACTAACTAACTAACTAACGAACTAACTAACTAACGAACTAACTAACTAACTAACTAACTAACTAACTAACTAACTAACTAACTAACTAACTAATTACTAACTAACTAACTAACTAACTAACTAACTAACTAACTAACTAACTAACTAACTAACTAACTAACTAACTAACTAACTAACTAACTAACTAACTAACTAACTAGCTAACTAACTAACTAACTAACTAACTATCTAACTAACTAACTGACCTGCTAACTTGTATATTGGACAACAAGTCGATAGAAAAATCCATGGAATAGACAATAGGCAATTCCTAATGACTATGCTATGGATATTTCACACACTCTCTCTGTTCACATGTTACACTATTACATAAAATAGGCAATAAACTAATCAAATGATTAGTACATAGTATAATCAATAGACTGATCAATAGATTGACCAATATTCCATAGTCTAGGCAATACAGTCAAGACTATAGACTGATCTGTAGTCAATACTATTGACTGATCTATAGTCAAGACTATAGACTGATCTATTGTCAAGACTATACACTAATCTATTGTCAAGATTATAGACTGATCTATAGTCAAAACTATAGACTGATCTATAGTCAAGACTATAGACTGATCTATAGTCAAGACTATAGACTGATCTATAGTTAAGACTATAGACTGATCTATAGTCAAGACTATAGACTGATCTATAGTCAAGACTATAGACTGATCTATAGTCAAGACTATAGACTGATCTATAGTCAAGACTATAGATTGATCTTTAGTCAAGACTATAGATTGATCTTTAGTCAAGACTATAGATTGATCTTTAGTCAAGACTATAGACTTATCTATAGTCAAGACTATAGACTTATCTATAGTCAAGACTATAGACTTATCTATAGTCAAGACTATAGACTGATCTATAGTCAAGATTATAGACAGATCTTTAGTTAAGACTATAGATTAGTCTATAGTCAAGACTATAGATTGATCTACAGTCAATACTATAGACTGATCTATAGTCAGGAGAATAGACTGATCTATGTCAAGACTATAGACTGATCAGTAGATTGACCAATAGTCCAGTCGATGAAGTCAAGACTATAGACTGATCTGTAGTCAATACTATTGATTGATCTATAGTCAAGACTATAAACTGATCTATAGTCAAGACTATATACTGATCTATAGTCAAGACTATAGACTGATCTATAGTCAAGATTATAGACTGATCTGTAGTCAAGACTATAAACTAATCTATAGTCATGACTATAGACTGATCTATAGTCAAAACTATAAACTGATCTATAGTCAAGACTATAGACTAATCTATGTCAAGACTATATACTGAAATATAGTCAAGACTGTAGACTGATCAATAGTCAAGACTATAGACTGATCTAAAGTCAAGCCTGTAGACTGATCTATAGTAAAGACTATAGACTGATCTATAGTCAAGACTATAGACTGACCAATAGTCAAGACTATAGACTGATCTATAGTCAAGACTATAGACTGATCTATAGTCAAGACTATAGAATGATCTATAGTCAAGACTATAGACTGATCTATTGTGAAGACTATATACTAATATATTGTCAAGATTATAGACTGATCTATGGTCAAGACTATAGACTAATCTATTGTCAAGATTATAGACTGATTTGTAGTCCAGACTATAGGGTGATCTCTAGTCAAGACTATAGACTGGTCTATAGTCAAGACCATATATAGACAACCAAGACTATATACTACTGATCCACAGTCTAGACTATAGATTGATCTATGGTCAATAAGCAAGGGCTAGCGACTACTCTATAGGTGGTCACACACTATAGACTAATCAATAAACGAATAGATATGCTAATCAATAGATATATAGTTCATAGAATAGCTAATAGACAATAAATAGTCCACATATTGTCCCGGCCACGAACCTTTATCGCTTGTCAATTAAAATCAGCACGAACTTGTCAGTTTATGGTAATTCACGAAACGTTATAGTTTATGTTGTGTCGTTCTTAAGTTGACATTAATTGATCCAGACGGATAGAGGATTTAATCGATACACTAAATTTATATAGGACAAAATAACAATATTAAAGTTCAACTTTTATTTATGATTTGTATTAAAAATTATCGATGCAACTAACAAAAACATTAATTAAAATTTCCTAAATTAATAAAATTACTAACAAATATGCATTAAAATTTAAATAAATTACAAACAAAACTCAAATAAATATAAATTAGACCATTAAAAGTATAATAATATAAAACAGCTAATAATAATTGCATGCTTTTAACATTTCATTACTCTTTATAAGTAATTTCAATTAAACTGTATAATTTCAAAGAAAAAACAAAATAACCAACTGCAACTCGACACAACAATAACCAAAAAGCACATGTTTAAGTTGAATGCTTCGTTGCTTTAGCTTGATATAAATATTAGGCATCTAATATTGAATTATTAGCAACAGCCAAAATCATACAAAAAAGTAAAAGATAATTTACAAATTAATACTTTTATAATTACAACAAATAAGTAAAGAAAAAAAGAAACATGTCTCTATTTTTCTGCTTTATTACTTGTTTAGATTTTGTTCAACTTTAAATAAACAACAACAACAAAGTAGTATGCCTAAAACATGTTGCAGTAGTTTTTCCTTATTTTATCACTGGTTGGTTTACTATTTTTCGCAGACAAAAACAAAAGACTTAAGCTGCAAACTTGCAAGAAAACCATTTTTGATTATTTACGCAAATGTCCTCTGTAAAATTTATGTTTTTTTACGCAGAGAGTTTATGTTTTGTTTTTTTATTTGTTTTGGCAGATATTATTTCTTTTTATTATTTTATTGTATGTTTTTGTTGTTGTATGTTTACTCACCATGTATATCGTCTACACATATGCCAAGATCTTCACGATATGTATTCAAGTATGGCAAACAACGACACTGGCAACTTTCCCCATTGGCATTGGCTGCTGTCGATGCAGCCGTAGCTGCTGATGACGATGACTTATCTTTAAGTTTATGCTGTGTTTGTCGCACCAATAATTCTAATTGCGATTTGCTGCCGCCTGTGGCATCAACCAATGAACCTGAAGTATGGGGTAATAAACAGATAATTAGTTTTTATGTGAATACTATAAAATTGTTATTAATTTGGGGGTTTTATACATATAGACAGATCTATACCTAGGCAAGACTGCAGACTGATCTATAGTCAAGAATACAGAATCTTCTATAGTCAAGACTCTAGATTGACTATAGGTCGAGACTATAGATCGCTCAATAGCCAGCCATATAGACTGGTCTAGAGTCAACACTATAGTCAAGGCTATAGATTTATCTATAGTCAAGATTATATACTGATCTATAGTCAAGACTACAGACTGATTCGTAGTCATGGCTGTAGACTAATCTATAGCCAAGACTATAGACTGCTACATAGTCAATACTATAGACTAATCTATAGTCAATACTATAGACTAATCTATAGTCAAGACTATAAACAGATCTATAGTCAAGACTATAGACTGATCTATAGTCAAGACTATAGAGTGACCTATAGTCAAGAGTATAGACTGATCTATAGTCAAGACTATAGAGTGACCTATAGTCATGACTATAGAGTGACCTATAGTCAAGACTATAGACTGATCTATAGTCAGGACTATAGACTGATCTATAGTCAGGACTATAGACTGATCTATAGTCAGGACTGTAGACTAACCTATAGTCAAGACTATAGACTAATCTATAGTCAAGACTATAGACTAATCTATAGTCAAGACTATAGACTAATCTATAGTCAAGACTATAGACTAATCTATAGTCAAGACTATAGACTAATCTATAGTCAAGACTATAGACTAATCTATAGTCAAGACTATAGACTAATCTATAGTCAAGACTATAGACTAATCTATAGTCAAGACTATAGACTAATCTATAGTCAAGACTATAGACTAATCTATAGTCAAGACTATAGACTAATCTATAGTCAAGACTATAGACTAATCTATAGTCAAGACTATAGACTAATCTATAGTCAAGACTATAGACTAATCTATAGTCAAGACTATAGATCGATCAATAGTCAACAATATAGACTGATCTATAGTCAAGACTATATACTGATCTACAGTCAAGACTATAGACTGATCTACAGTCAAGATTATAGACTGATCTATAATCAAGACTATAGATTGATATATAGTCAAGACTATAGACTAATCTATAGTCAAGACTATAGACTGATCTACAGTCAAGACTATATATTCAAGACTATAGACTGTTTTATAGTCAAGACTATAGATTGATCTATAGTCAAGACTATGGATTGATCTATACTCAAGACTATAGATTGATGTATAGTAAAGACTATAGATTGATATATAGTCAAGACAATGGATTGATCTATAGTCAAGACTATAGATTGATCTATAGTCAAGACTATAGATTGATCTATAATCAAGAGTATAGATTGATCTATAGTCAAGACTATAGATTGATCTATAGTCAAGACTATAGATTGATCTATAGTCAAGACTATAGATTGATCTATAGTCAAGACTATAGATTGATCTATAGTCAAGACTATAGATTGATGTATAGTCAAGACTATAGATTGATGTATAGTCAAGACTATAGATTGATCTATAGTCAAGACTATAGACTGATCTAAAGTCAAGACTATAGACTGATCTATAGTTAAGACTATAGAATGATCTATAGTTAAGACTATAGACTGATCTATAGTTAAGACTATAGACTGATCTATAGTTAAGACTATAGACTGATCTATAGTCAAGACTATAGACTGATCTATAGTCAAGACTATAGACTGATCTATAGGCAAGACTATAGACTGATCTATAGTCAAGACTATAGACTGATCTATAGTCAAGACTATAGACTGATCTATAGTCAAGACTATAGACTGATCTATAGTCAAGACTATAGACTGATCTATAGTCAAGACTATAGACTGATCTATAGTCAAGACTATAGACTGATCTATAGTCAAGACTATAGACTGATCTATAGTCAAGACTATAGACTGATCTATAGTCAATACTATAGACTGATCTATAGTCAAGACTATAGACTGATTTATAGTCAAGACTATAGACTGATCTATAGTCAAGACTATAGACTGATTTATAGTCAAGACTATAGACTGATCTATAGTCAAGACTATAAACTGATCTATAGTCCAGACTATAGACCGATCTATAGTCAAGACTATAAACTGATCTATAGTCAAGACTATAAACTGATCTATAGTCAAGACTATAGACTAAGCTATAGTCAAGACTATAGACTAAGCTATAGTCAATCCTATAGACTGTTCTATAGTCAAGGCCATAGACTGATCTCTAGTCAAGACCATAGACTGATCTATTCAACAACTTCAACTTACCCATTTTATTAATACCCTTCGCCAGCCATGAGGCCGTGCCACTGGAAAGGCCCACACAGGTATCCGCATTACACGAATTAACACCTTAAATTAATTTAAATTTTTAAACAATATTTCAACTTGATGATTTTCAAAACACACTACCATTTGTCCAAAATATATCGCCATCATGCTGTCTAGTCAAATTGACCGATGTCACAATTCCAGCTGTTGAACCAGCTGTAGAAACAATATTATCCAAAAGAAAATTAGCAGGATGTGGTAATAAATTACTTATGGTATCAATACGATCAATTGAACCTCTAGCCTCTGAAGCCATAATATCAGCTGAAGTGGGTAAATTATCGGGTGTACTCAAAGGTTCCACAGTAGCAAGTGCTGATGAATTGTTAAATGAGGCGATAAATAGTAAAAGTTTAATACATGTAAACAACATGTTGTTGGCAACATTGCGTCCAAGACCAGACATGGGAATTTGTAAATGATTTAATTTAGGTTTATATTATATGATTTGTTTCTTTTTTTTATGTTAAATTTTTTGAAAAATTTAATTTGTTGTATTTTTTTTTTTGCAAATATTAATGTTATTTAATGCACTGGTATTGGGAATTTTTCAGGGGTTGTTGTATATAAGGATTATGGTTTAATAGTTGTTGTTGCTGTTGCCTTTTTATGCTCAAAAACATGATTTTCAATACATTAACCATAGAAATTGTGAAAATATGTTTAAATTTATAAATTTATTTTTTGCTGGAAAGTTAAAAACATTTTGTTTTTGTCTTTAAGCCCCAAAAAAAAACTGAAAAGAAAAAGAAACAGGAAAATTATCCATTAGCTAAAGATGATAGAAGTGTAATAAAAGAGACTTGACTATAAAATAACTTATAATTATTTTGCGAATAAATTTTGAAATATTTCTTTTCTTTTCATAAATTTCAATTAACAAAAACTCACAAATGTTGCAATTAAGACACAATTTTTAACAACTATCAAATACAAATTTTATTAACATTTTTATATTTTAAAGCCTATATAGTCTATCGTCCATAAAAATCATTATTTAATAGACAAATATTAATCTCAAACTTAAAGCAGAGATTAGCTGTTTTTAAGTCCAAACAATATTATTCTCTAAAAACTTAAAGAAATAAAAACATTTTCATATTTTTAATATTAATAAATATTAAACATTTACTACAAATATAATCTATAACATTATTTAACTTTTAAGTCTTAATAAAACCGTATATAATCTAAATTTAATAGGAAATATTCAGTTAATTTTTCGTTTGTATACCAACACAGGCAAATATCCCCATAATCTTCTTACTAAAGAAATTAACTGCTTTTTATTGCAGCTCTACAAGCATACATTTTCTGGCCATTTTCAAATAACTAAAATTTTCTTTTAAATGCAAATACAAAACGTAAAATCTTGTTGAATTCTTATTCTTTAGACTTTCTTAACATTCAATGCGTAACTTTTGCGTTTAAGTTTGTTTTAACACAGCCGGCCGGCAGCTGTTTCCTAGCTATTTTTCAACTACTTGTTGCTGTTCTTCGTCTTCTTTTTTAGAATATTCATTGCTACATAGGAAGCTTAAGATTTTGTGGCAAAAAACCACTAAAAAAACTCTAATAGTTTATTTGTTGCTGTCCAGTAAAGGCGTCATGTAGCTGAACATGCAAAGTTATTTAATTTATGGCAATAATCAGTTTGCCTGTAGATTATTTTTCAGTTAGTTTAACTTCATTTGAAAATTTTGCTTAGAAGAATAGCAAAAAAACAAACTATTTAACTACTGCAAACGATGCTGAAAATTAACCCTTATAAGGCAAGGGGGAAATGTTGTTGGTGCGTTGCGGCAAAAAGGTAAAATCTTTCAACACACTAGACTTGGACTATTCCACTGACTAAATTGCAGTCTATAGAATTGGCTATATATCACTCTGTAGTCTTTACTACTGATCAGTCCATAGCCTCGACTATAGATTAGTATATAATCTCGACTATAGATCAGTCTATAGACTTTACTATAGATCATTCTACAGTCTTGACTAAAGATCAGTTTATAGTCTTGATTAGTCTATAGTCTTTACTGTAGATTAGTTCATAGTCTTTACTATAGATCAATTTATAGTCTTGACTATAGATCAGTCTATAGTCCTGACTATAGATCAGTCTATAGTCCTGACTATAGATCAGTCTATAGTCCTGACTATAGATCAGTCTATAGTCTTGACTATAGATCAGTCTATAGTCTTGACTATAGATCAGTCTATAGTCTTGACTATAGATCAGTCTATAGTCTTGACTATAGATCAGTCTATGGTCTTGACTATAGATCAGTCTATAGTCTGGACTATAGATTAGTCTATAGTATTGACTATAGATTAGTCTATAGTCTTGACTATAGATTAGTCGATAGTCTTGACTATAAATCAGTCTATAGTCCTGACTATAGATCAGTCTATAGTCCTGACTATAGATCAGTCTATAGTCTTGACTATAGATCAGTATATATTCTTGACTATAGATCAGTCTATAGTCTTGACTATAGATCAGTATATATTCTTGATTATAGATCAGTCTATAGTCTAAACTATAGATCAGCCTATAGTCTAAACTATAGATCAGTTTATAGAATAGTCTATATATCAGTCTATAATCTTGGCTATAGATCAGTCTACAGTCTTTACTATAGATCAATCTATAAACTTGACTATAGATCTGTCTATAGTCTTGATTATAGATCGCTCTATAGTCTTGACTATAGATCGGTCTATAGTCTTGACTATAAACTGGTCTATAGTCTTGACTATAGATCGGTCTATAGTCTTGACTATAGATCGGTCTATAGTATTGACTATAGATCGGTCTATAGTCTTGACTATAGATAAGTCTATAGTCTAAACTATAGAACATCATATAGTCTAAACTATAGGTCAGTTTATAGAATAGACTATATATCAGTCTATAGTCTTGACTATAGATCAGTTTATAGTCTTGACTCTAGATCATTCTATAGTCTTGACTATAGATCAGTCTATAGTCTTGACTGTAGATCAGTCTATAGTCTTGACTATAGATCAGTCTATAGTATTGACTATAGATCAGTCTATAGTGTTGACTATAGATAAGTCTATAGTCTTGACTATAGATCAGTCTATAGTCTTGACTATAGATCAGTCTATAGTCTTGACTATAAATCAGTCTATAGTCTGGACTATAGATCAGTCTTTAGTCTTGACTATAGATCCGTCTTTAGTATTGACTATAGATCAGTCTATAGTCGTGACTATAGATCAGTGTACAGTCTTGACTATAGATCAGTGTATAGTCTTGACTAAAGATGACTATATATCAGTCATGGGCAAACACATACTACCATGTGTATATTTGTGTGCGTTAAGCAGCAGAGAGATGACTGCACGTTATAACAAAATGGTGGTACACTGAGAAAAGTTTTGAAATTTGTTTTCTATTGCAAATACTTTTTACGACGAGAAAAACTCATGAACTTTTGGGCATTTTAAACAAAAATGGAATAAAGGGAAAGAGTTTTTCATTTAAGAAAAGTAGTAGTATTTTTAAAAAGTAGTATTAAATAAAACTACTGAAATATCATTAAGAAAATCACGACTTTCTATTCGATTTCGAACTTTTAAGGGATATTACCGAGATATTAACTGAACTTAATTTAAAGTTCAACTAATCTATCCAAATCAATGTTTCCTTTATATTCCTTAATACGCAATAAGTCACCAATGTGTTGATCGGTTAACCTTTTAATTGCAACAACATTACTTTTCTGTCATGTCCCCTAAGGTCATTTAAGGGTCCATGGCAAGTTTCATAATGCCTTTTCAAAAAAATAAAGCTTTTCTACATATAATTTTATAACATACGACGCATTGTGCCTCACCGTCCATGTTTTCTATAAAAAAAAATCATTTTCCCAATTTATATCAAACATTTTGCTAGGTGTAATAAAAGAGAAAAAATCATAAGCATAAAAAAATCCGCAACGTGATCTTGCTTCTACAAAAGCTGAACAGCAACTGATTTGATCTCTGACATCGTAACAAAGCAACAAACAAGTGGTCATTTTAGTAAAACACAGACACACTAATACACACAAGCTTATAGTGTAGGTGTGTCAACAAAGCGTCAGCAGAATTTCTTGGCCTATGCACGCGTGCATTAGAATTTCAGTTTTGCTCGTGACTGCTATATATATAGTCTATAGTCTTGACTACAGATCAGTCTATAGTCTTGACTACGGATCAGTCTATGGTCTTGACTATAGAGCAATCTATAGACTTGACTATAGAGCAATCTATAGACTTGACTATAGAGCAATCTATAGTCTTGACTATAGAGCAATCTATAGTCTTGACTATAGATGAGTTTATAGTCTTGACGATAGATCAGTCTATAGTCTTGACTATAGATCAGTCTGTAGTCTTGACTATAGATCAGAATAGTCTTGACCCTAGATCGGTGTATAGTCTTGACTGTAGATCTATTTGTCTATAATCATAGGTATAGATCATTGATAGACTGATCTATAGACTTGTCCATAGGCTAGTTTGGACATATTTTAATTTCAAATGTGGCTCGATTTGTACTTTGTTAACGCGACGTTGAAAAATTAGGCACAATTGGGACTCTTTTACCCAGTTTTGGTTTAAAAACACATAGATTTTTGTTTTGTTTGCTTAGCACCAAAAGTATAATGCCATAGTGTAAATCTAAAGAAGTTTTTTTTTTTTCTTCTACCGTAGATCATTGAACAAGATCATTCATAAACAAACACTAAGCTGCACTGCAGTCAACAACATACATTTATTTAACTGCCATTGTTTAGCATTTCAACGCCAAATATGGCAATAAATTTTAACATTTTTTTTTATTTTATTTTGTCTTTAGCTTTGTAGAGTGTGTGAGCAAAAAAAAAAAGTATTTGAATATGATATGATTATCAAACTTGTAATAAATAGTTATTGGAAGAAATAATTTATACTTTTTGTGTATTAAACAAAAAGCCGCTAAATACATTAAATTTATCTCGGATAAACATTAGTTTATAAAGAAATGTTAAAGTGTTTTTTTTTTGAGAAAAAAAAAAATTCTTTAAATTGTGGAATTATATAAAACCCACACTAAATGGAAACACATTTTTTCTCAAATTATGAGATTTTATTTTGTTTTTGTTTTTAATAGTTAACCATAAACTGTTTACAGTTAGCTATTATATTATTAAATTATAGTAGTTTTTTTAAACTTTTTTTAAGAAAATAATAACAAAAAAAAAAGATAACAAACTTTAAGAAATTGAGTTAGAAACAAATCTTAAATTTTTTTTTCTAACATTCTTTTGGGTGCGCTCATTATTCTAATGGGTTTAATAACAGTTAATCTGTTAACACAATTTCTTTTTAAAATTTAACATTTATTGATGTCAAGTTTATGAATATAACAAAAATAAAGATTTCGATTTACTAATTTAAATTTGTATTTTATGTTAATGCTTTGACATTTTGGTTATTTAACTGTAATATTTTGACATCTTATTTAAATGTTATTATGATTTTTGTTTATTTTGTTTGTTATTGTTTTTATTTGGAAATTTTATGGTGAAGAGTGAAAAAGAGAGAATTTTGTTGATATACTCTTAATAATAGATCTCTTAGCGTGATGTGAGGAC